CTCAACCTAGCATGACCACAGAGCCTCAAACCACAAGTCCACACTACCTCATCACACTCCCACCCCACCACCCGAGAACTCGCTGCCCTCTGCCTCGCTCACCCCACCCTAAAAGCCAAAAGCAAATACCCTGACAAATAGAACAAAGTGCCATTATTTTCACATCCATCTTTCAAGCTTAAGAGGTCATGGGACGTAGGGCTGGGACGTCACATCCAAAGCTGGGATGTGGGCTCCAGAATCCCCACTGTAATCACCACCACGGATGTGGGCTCTCATTTCACTGCTGGTGTCTGAGTCTGACTTACCACCCAGCCAACTTGAGAGCCCTCAGTAATGCTGCCTTAGGAAGCTCTGGTGGCCCAGTGCTCCACTACAATCTCAAAGGCAGGTGGTTCAAATCCATCAGCTGCTCCACATGGGAAGGATGGGCAATTTCCCCTGCTGTGATTTCCTATCTCTGAATACCTGCTGAAAGGACAGTTACGGGGAGGTTCCGACTCAAGGACACGCAACATTAAATCTGATTTAGAACCAAGCACTGTGCTTTCTGTCTGCCGTGGCCCCTCTCATTCCTCCTGGGGTTCAGGCCTCTTCTCCAGCCACACTCTGCCCTTAGCAACTGCATCTGTCACCATGCTGCCGCCTTCCAAATCTATACCCCCTGGAATCCCAGGCGTCCATATCCAGCTGCTGGTTGACTTTCCCGAGAGCATCTTAATGTGCTCAGAGCCAAGCTCCTCATCCTCCCTTTAAAACCTGTTCTGTCACGCTCCCCATCTCAGGAAAAGGCCGCTGTACTTCCTCGGCTGCTCAGGCTAATCCGCCCAGAGCCAGCCCCGACTCCCAGCTTTCTACCAGGCCTTAACTGCTCTGCAGCTCATTCTTCAGAACGCCCACAAGCCACTTGCAGCCTCCAGTGGCTTAGTTACTGCAGTGGCCTCTTCGCAGTGTCCTTTCTTCTACCCAGCAGTACTTCCTCTGTCCCACACCCAGCACAGCCTCCACACAGGGGTCTCATTAAACTTTTGTTATCAACTCTAAGTAAGTTAGAGCACACCCTTCCTCTGCTCAGCCTTTTCCAAAAGTCCCCCGTTTCACTCACAGTTTGAAGGGAGGTCTTTACAAAGCCGGCCATGGTCCTGCCCTTCTGCCACTAAGCGGCCCTGCTCTCTCATCACTCCCTCTCCTCCCACCAGCCTGGCCTCCTTCCTGAGCCAACCAAGCATGCACTCTTTGCACTGGGTCTTGGCGACAGAAACACTTCCAAGCCAGCCACACGGTTTTTTTTCATGTCCTTTAAACCTCCAATAAAATACTATTCCAAGTCACCCAACCTTTAGCGTCAGCCCTATTCCATTTAGGGCATTTTCCACTTTTCTGCCTCTCTTGTCAGGAAACGAATCCTATGAGGTCAGGGGCTTCTGCTCTGTGCACTACTGCGTTTACAGCAACTAGGACAGATAAGTGGGATGCTCAAAGAGCACTTGCCACGATCGAGTTAGGTCACTCAATTTACAGATGCAGAATCTGTCTGAGGCCCAGGGTGGGTCACAGAGACTTATTCAAGGTCATGGCTTTCAAACGGTAGGGCCTTGGCTGGAGCCCAGATCCCACAACTCTGGTCCCTCCTCTGGGCTGCCGGGCATCACAGATTACCCCCAACAGGTGGAAACCAAGCCGTGCTGCTGGCCACACTGCAGCAGGGTGAGTGCTGGCCCCAGGAGTCTTCACTCCAAGGGGTACCAAGGCAGTTCTGCCCTGACTCGTGGCCACGATGAGTGAGGGTCAGGACCTCTTGGAGCTTTGCCCTGGCCTGGGACCCAGCAGCCCCAGATCAGTCATGCAGAGCTCCAGGACTGGCTCCCAGCCCGTCCTGAGCCTCCCTCAGGGCAGCTGTCCTCCTGCTGTTCTAGTCCCTCCCTGGTCTCCCCAAATCAGGATACCTTGAGTTTCCGGGGCAGGCGGGGCCGTTTCTCCCGTTTGGGCCTTGGGGGGCTGGGCTCAGGCAGCTGCAGGGCCAAGTAGTCAGAAGGGAATGGGGGGTAGGTGGGGGAAGCCAGCTGCTGTGGCAGGATCAGGGAGATGGGCATGGGAAATGGAGTGGATTGGGGTGGAAGGGTGAAGAGGAGAAATGCAAACAGGGAGAATGGAAAAACAAAAGAGATGGTGATGAGTGCAGCTCCCCCTGACTCCTGAGAGGAGGGAGGGGACAGCAGGACTGTCCTGGGGCCTGCTCTCCTCAGCCGTGTCTGTCCCCAATTCCTACACCACACAGAGGAAGTGGGCAGCCCCAACTCACACCCTCCAAGGGTGCTTGCTGGCTACACCTAGACATAGATCCCCAAAGCTGAACTGGCTTCACCCCAAAGCCTGGGCCTTTACCCACAATTCCCACCTTCTTCCCAGGTATCTTAGTTTACCGTTTCTCACCCTTGACCCCAACTCACCGAGCTCAGGTATGGGGAAGGGGCCCCAGAGGCCTGAAGTGGAAACCCTGTTGAAGAAGGCAGGGAGAGGCTGGAGGGGGATGGGGCACCCCCCAGCGGAGGGCTTCTCTTCCTGGAGAAAGGACAAAGAGAAGGTCAGAGACGTTCAAGAGGCCAGGTATTCTACCCCTAACCCACCCCCAGAGAGAAATGCTGGCTTCTTCTCACCTCTTGGGGGCTGGTGTGTCTGACAACTTGGGTGTCCCCTCTGTTTCACTGTTATCTGAAGAGGCAGTGGCATCTGAGTCTGTGAGAGGGGAGGGGTGATTTACCATGGGGTGCAGGCCCTAGGCAACCCTAGAGGGGTGTAACCCCAGTGGATGGGGAAATTCAAGGAAATGTGAGCCCTCAAAAAGGCACAGCTTCTTCCCCTCCTACCTCCTGCCCACAGCAGCATGGTTGCCATGCATTTCCTATGTGACAGGTTCTCTGGTAGACACTTTCATTCACCATCTCTTCTCCCCATGAGAAAAACTATCTGAGGGGGCAAGAGCCTCGTGCTCATCAGTCTCACCTCCCCCCGCCACTCACTACCCACTGCAACCCCGGAAGAACCTGTAACAGAAACCTGGTCGCACCTTCCCTGATATCCCCATCAGCGAACATTCAAAGAGCATTTTACTGATATCCCCATCAGCGACCATTCAAAGGGCATTTTAACTTGTCCTCAACCTACCTTTCGGGTTTAAAAAACACTCCAAACTTTTTACATCACCCCAAACTGCTTCCTCAAGAAATTAATTTCTTGCCCAGTTGCATGCCACTATTTAAAAGGCTTGCCACTGACAGACACATCAACTGGTACATTTAATATATACTATTCTGAAATGTCTTGGAGAGGGTGCAGGGGGAGTGCCCTGTGGCGGCATGAATGATGATGCTTTACTTCACATACTTTGGGTATGTTGCTGGAAGGGGTTGTCCTTGGAGAAGGACATGAAGCTGGGAAGGGTGGAGGGTTGGCGAAGGAAAGACCCTTGACCAAGTGAATGACACGGTGACTTGCTTCAGTGGGTTCTTGTGTGTTAGGAAGTGTGAGGATGGCAGACGATAAAGCAGAGTTCAGATCTTCTGTTCGTAAGATCATTATGAATCATATTTGACTAGACGGCACCTAACAATAACACCACTCCTAATTTCCCTGCTCAGATGTTTCTTCTTTGTTTTTTGCTCAGATGTTTCTTAACAAGCTGGTTAAATGATTTCTCTGTCAAGTCTCCCAAACCACCATGGGCCTGGTTAATTCCTGGCCCTCTCAGAGCTCTCTACTCTCACTTGTTACAGGCTTCCACACGCCGTGCTGAGAAGCACCAGGTGTGGGTGTCCCACTGGAGCAGGATAGGATAGGAGTGGTGGTAGGTTACATCTCTGGACCTTGCTTCTCAGCTTTAATCTATTCTGACTGAGAACATGGTGGGGTCTCTTACATCTCCTGCCCTGAATTATCACTCAACCGAAGTCAAAGACCTTAGGGAAAAAAAGAACAGGCAGAAAATGAGAAGTTTAAAAAAAGCCAAAGTTCTGAATAGGATCTACAGGACCCAACCCTTACGTAGTCTCTAATCTTATCCATTATCCTTTTTTAAAAAAAAACAAAACAAACAAACATTAAGCCAAATGGGGCACTGTATATTCCAAGAAAGCACTATTTCTTCTAAAACCTAAGCCGTATGTGGCAGTAGTTTGCTGACTCCAGTTCTAAATCCCTACCTAGAGGCATCGTGAAAAGAGGTGTGTGACATGGCTTCTGAAAGTGCCACAGTAGGACAAGGCCACAAAAGCCCAACTCTGGGGCTTTTGGAAACTGTGGATCACAATCCTTCAACAGGTCCTGAAATAATTTCAGTAGTTTGCAAAGAGCACTGAAACAAAAAATGTCTAGAACGTATAGGTATAAACTGCAGGAAGTAATCTTAACACTGCTTCACTGAACTTTGTTTTAGAAGTCTTAAGGAAACTCAACCTTTATATAAAACACAAAGCTCTGTATGTTGGCCCTTCTGCATTTTAACTACACCTGGCTTGTTTCACCCTGGCATGTCTTTTTTTTTTTAAAAAAATTTTATTATTATTATTTTGTGTGTGTGTGTGTACCGTCAAATCGGATCTGACTGGTTCAGGAGGAGAGTGTCCCTCCTTCCCCGGCAGAGCATCTGGTGGATTCGAACCATGCGCCTCTGGGATTGCAGTGCAGCTTCTTGCCACTAGGCCACCAGAGCTCCCCTCACCCTGGCATTTCTAATTGTTATTTCCTTCTCCTAAAAAGCTCTCACTCATATCCTCACAGGACTGGGTTCTTCCTAGACTCTAGGTCTCAGCTTAAATGTGACTGTCCTAAGCCTATTACTTGCCTTCGAGCCTTCAAATGGTCTACAAGCTAAGATGGCTTTTGATTTTCTGAAAATACTGTAAAAAAAAAAGTATTTCATGACATATGAAAATTATAAGTCAGAACCCGTCTCACAACTTAAAGTACTATTTGACCCTATTATAGAAAAAGCTTGTGAATCCCTGCTCTAACCTAGTCAATCACGACCATTAACCCTGCTTTCACAACTTTCAAGTCTTTATCTAAACGTCTAACTTAGTTGTCCTCCTCCCGGCCGCTAGAATATGAGCTGTTAAGATGCCACGGGACTGGTCCTGCTTGGTTACTGCTGCACCCCGTCCCAACAAGCACTGTTCCAAGCACAGTGCGTGACAAACAGCAGAGATGCTCAGTAAATCCTTGGAAGAATGACAGGGATGGAAAGCGAACAAAAGAAACTCTGGAAGCTGCACAAGCTCCCAAAAGCCTAAAAGGAAGGACCGGGAACACCTGCTGGCCTCCGTCAATTTCTCGAGCCCGTGCTCACCAGAAGAGTCTTCATCCACGTTCTCGTACTGCAGAAGCCGATCAAGGAGGAAACTGAGGGGGAGACCGGGAAGACAAGAGGGTTGATGCGCTTTTCAGTTATTCGCTCGCCCTGGGGCCCTCTTCCCTCCTCACGGGCTAACAGGCTGCTCGACACAGCTTCGAAGGAAGCACTGGGCCTCCCTGGCCCCATCTCAGGATAAGAAGATGCGCAGGTGACCCCTCCCCACCCCACTCCCCGGAGTCCCTCACCTCTTGTCCCGGGACACCTTCAGCAATTTCCTCTGCGCCTTCCTTAGCTCCTCCTGGAAGCACTCATGTTCCTGCACCACGAAAAAGGGGGCCACTGAGCCAATGGCCGTGCCTGATGGGCCCCAGAGGCCAGCAACAGCTCTCTCCACCCTTTGTATGCATGAGTAAACTGAGGTTCCCCCCAAAGCCAGGCCTCGTCATGCACAACCTCTTCTTCCTCCCGGTACTCACGTAGATGAGAAACTTGAGCTTCCGCTTCAGGTTCCGGTATTTCTTCTTGTAGTCCACCTCGCCATCGGCCGGCCCGTTCATGACCGGCCGCAGGAGCAGCGGCCCGGTGCCCGCTACCCCCGGGCCGGCTCAACCGGACCTCGACTTCCGGAGATTCCGCAAGGCTCTGCCCGGGCGGGACTACAACTCCCGGCGGCCCTCGCGCGCGGGT